CTGAAAGAAAAATATGCAGACTAAATGCAGTTCATATTGAAGTATAGAAGGATACAGATCGAGACCAGCAATAAGTTTCACATTTCTGATAAATTTTACTCCAAAATGTCAATCTGCATTTTCATGGACAAGTACTGTATCAAATTATTATTTAATCAGTCGCGAGAAAGCACTGATTTAAAGTGTTAATCAACTTGCCCCTGAAATTATAAGTCTCGCAAAGGATGAAATATTCAAATTGGGGACTGAAGCCACACTTGTAACGCATTATTCCTAACAGTTAAAAAATTAATATAGTGAAGTATGAATAATAATAGAGAACTATTAGCAATATATTGAATATTTATCATTAATAATCCACTATATTATTCACATAGTTAATATAGTGAACTATTAATTAGCGAGTGGCCTGCACTAGTATGACAACGAAGTAGTAAGAGGTCATTACTCGACATCAATTTGTCCTAAACATTACTGGCTGCTACAGAACCCATCAGTTGAGCTTTTTGTTAACTGGTATATTCCTTTTGTATATATATACACATCAGAAAAAGACGCCACTAAAGCAAGAGTTCTACAACTCAAGCAACACAGTACACCACCCACAAGAGAAGGAACACCGAAGCTCTTCGTACGACCAAAGCATATTATTGCAACGTTTAAACTTTGCACAAGATTCTATGGCCAATGCACCAACACATTAAGCAGTTTTCAAAAATTGAAGGCAAAGTGAATACTGCTCATTCCTTCTTTGAAACGCTAAACAAAGTACGCAGTTGAAAATGACATCAATAGTTAAAGTTTACAATAGTCCACACCACTGAATTGAAGAACAAAAACAACTCATTCCGTCAGCTAAGTAGAACGCAGGAATTTCCTTCTTGGAATACTAGTCTTGAACAGCATAAGAAAATTCATGATCTGCTTCAGAAATCCAGATCGATGAAGAACGAATGTAAGCACACCTTTATGGGAAGGAACAATGATATCGTCCTACCGAAGAGATGGCATTAGATTCCTCAACGCAATATGCCAGCATAAGGAGGTCAATATTAGACTTGATCTTTTCCAGAGACATGGCGTTACAATCTGATAACAGGATGCCTTAGATCAAGCAGGGAGGGACTTTAGAGTCAATTCAGATGAGATCTTTTCTATCTACCTTTGTATTACAGATCAAGGTTCCTTTCTTTCGTAGTTTTCCCACGACATTTGACACATTATTCGGTATATGCGGAGAATGGAGTATACTAAAATCGCTATGTTTTCGACGGCCCCGAGACATACAATATAGACTGCAAAAAATTCTGATCGTAGGGATATTAAACATATGTTCAGTAATTTCGCTTTGCAGCAAAATCATGGGTCATGAGTACACGTGTTCCATGCATAACATGCAGTAAAATTTACGTATAAATCACAAGAGGTACATTGCCCCGATATAATGCATCAAACAGTAATAAAAAAATCAAGCGATTGTTACAGTAAACAATTCAAGCAGACAACACACAGCTCTTTCAATTTCTATAGAGATGCAACACTAAAATAACCCAAAATATGTTCAGTTTTGATATATACCAATAATACTTGTTCCTAAAATTCAAAGATGGGGCCAATTCAACATGAACATAATAACGCAATTCATTGGGAATCATCATGTCCTTAAACTTGCAAATACAAACACTAAAACTTTATTCATGAAGTAATTGTATTCATGAAGTAAAATGTATTCTTATAATGTACTCCGTAAAACAGTTACGTATATATTTACCTCTTCTTTAATGCAGCAAAATCGTGGGACATGTGTCTGGTAACTAATACAGTTCAGATGTCCTACGTTGTGCACCAGTAGCTGAGCGGTGAAGTCTCTGAACACCGATAGTTAGATCTGGGTTCATATTCCAGCTAACGGGTCGGCTGCATGGGCGTTTTGCATCTTGTGTCAAGTGGATACTAAACAGTTTCTGCTTTGAAAGTCCTTCTAAACTGTTCTTTAAAGTTCTTTATAAATTTTTTAATTAAATTAAATGAGCTTTAAAGTTCACTTCGTAACTTCACACTTGAACCAGCTGTGTACCATTAGCGAAGAGATGGACCAGAGATTTCATCAAGACAAAGAAACATGAAGCAAGGATCAAGAAAAGTAGACCATTTCTCTGATGGCTGACTGTTACACCAACATTAATCCCATCAAGGATGTAAAGGCAGCCGCCCAGTCGGTATAGTGGTCAGGAAAGCTGACTGCGATACCGAAAGGCCTGCGTTCGAATCACGGAGAAGGCGTGGTTGTAACCGTCAGTCCCTTCATAGGAAAGGCGATGGTGGCCCACCTATTAGATGCCTCCATAATAAAGAGACCACCACATCCTTCCTTATATAGATTAATGGACTGGGTTACATTCGTAATTGTGCACAATCTGCCATTGGGAAAAAAGAATGGAGCAAAGCATGAGTGGTCGCGGAAACTTCGACACATGAAATAAAAATTGTATTTTGCTTACATTGTGCAAGATTAAAAAAGGAACAAATTCTAAGATGAGTTTTAAGTTGAATTTAAAGGTCTCGCACGAAATATTACCAAACTGGAAACATGCTAATCGTCTTACAAGATACAATGGGTAGTTTTTTAGTAACCAAATGCATAGCGTAAAGAATAGACATGCCTGGAGTAAAGAAATTTACGGAAATGCCTAGTTTAATGCTTCGATTTTGAGCAACCAAGGTTTTAAGCCAAAGTTGAAGGTTTTCAAGGACACATTTACAAGTACATCTTTAATATGAAGGTTGGGAAATATCAACAAAGTAATACGTGCACGTAACAAGAAATGAAGGACAAGCAAATATTTCCTCAGAGGATGCTTCTTAGAAGGTCCCTAGCTGTACCAGCTCCTACAGAAACGTTACGTTACTGGAATGCAACTTAAACGTCAGCGAGACTAGGTTGCAGCCCAAATTTCGAGTACATTTCCTAGAATATTTTTGCAGCTAACAAAAAATTTAAAGACTATGCGGGCTGAAAGAGAAAAAAATATGAAGAAAAAATTTTGGAGACTCCTTAGCAATAAAAAAATGCAGATCTTCAGTCCTGCCAATATGTTTACCTTGCTTTTCAAAACTATTATACCTAATGCGAGTAATATTTTTCCATCACCGATATCCCATAATGAATTATAACTACTTTTGAAGTATAAAATCAATCATAAAAGGAAATGTTTCCTTTGTAACACTTTATACACCCTAAACCAATAAGAATTATTTTCTATGCAAAATTTTTTTAAAACAAAATCATACTGCAAAGGAAGTTAATCTATGAAAGACTACTTAAATACAAAAATTACAATTTGTGCTTACAGCATGCAGAAGAAATTAAGAATGGCAGCATACCGCAGAAATAAGATTGATCATTTTTTGAGAACTAATAACACAGTAATTTTCAAGCATTTGTAACATCGTATTTGTAACATTACATTTTGAGAGGTTTAAAGAAATAAAAGCAACAATTTAAGAGCCGGAAACCAGATTACACGTTATTAATGACAAATAAGGGTAATGCTAGAAGCAAGAGTAGAAGCAAGAGTAGAAGCAAAGTCAAGAAATGTAGGTTCAAAAAGGCAACTGGGATACTTTTCTTGGCCACTGGTAAGCTGAGGTTTCTTTACCAGCATTTATAATGTTACGAATTTTGCGCATAGATAGATAATTTTGGCGAAATTATATGAAATTTTATATTTCTATAGAACGCAACATGAAAAGCTTACAGAAATGATGTTGGAAAAATAAGGTAGTTTGAAGTGCAACTACTGATTGCACTCCGTTCTGATCTGATACTGGTGACACCTGTACGAGTGATTCTAGAAGGTTCAGAACTTGGAAGTGTTTCCTTTCATAAAACAAATTTTATCAACCTATCATCGGACATGGGTGCATTCAACCTATCACCAACCAGTACACATGCAACAATATAATCAAGTTGAAAAATGGATAAGAGCTTCGTGTTTCTTCAAGCTTATGAATACGCTAGTTTCCAAAATGACTATTTCCATTCCTCGCATTTAGTTACTTCGTCCCGAAATGAGAATCAAGTAGAAAGACTGCTTTGGTTGTGGTCAAATTTCTGTATTGCCGGTTGCGTTCCTGACCGTTGTAACATACTTTGAAATTTAATTCTGTCACTTTGAGCGATGGTTAGATGAAACTAATGATGCTAAATGAATGGATATGGGTTCTCTATTGTAATGTCCAAGCGGAGACTGAATGAAACAAGCAAAATGTTATTGCGGAAAACTACAAGACCATAAATAACTCCAGCTAGCATGGAAAACTGTCGCATTCGCTTGATTTAATCCTGTCAAAGCCATACAAGTCGTTCAAGTAGCCAATGCATACGAGAAATGAGAAATTCATAGGACACCAACCAGTTTCAAGGTTGTGGAAAAATGTTTAAATCCATAGATTCACAATTCTTTTTCACAACAGTCAGCATAAACATTGAGAAGAAACCACATTAGCAAACTTAATGGATACACATATATATTCCCCATTTTGTTGCTGTTACTCATTTTATTAAAAACTGCAAGTGTCTGATAACGAAGACCATCCGTATTCTTTTGAAAATACGACAACTCCTACAGTTCATCCTAACATTACTGTAAACAGACACTACAGCAATAAGAATTAGCTTTAATTTAGAACCTTGTCCAAATTTTTAATACAAGTGCCTAAAACAACGATTTTTCAAAAGCATTTCAATAGTAACTTCCGTCCGTTCTGATAACTGGTGTCCCACCATTCAGCTGGAAATACTTCTCTAGAAATCTAATCCTGATTCATATGAGAAAAAAACTCTTATGAAAATACTATCAGCTAGCTAGTGGTTTATTTTATAATTCAGTTTCACAATAAGCTCTTCTAACAGAAACAAATGCCTTTAAGCCCTGACCCTTTAGTGTTTCCATATTGTATTGAACAATATAATCATGAAATAAGTAAAATTAACTTACCAGAAATTCGATTGTAGGGCTGAAAAGTAAAAACAATACATTAAAATTTGTAAGTTGTTTCAATAACAATAAAACTTTCAAATGTTTCATTTAATTTGAAAGAAAATTATTATACCTAAAAAGAATTCCAAGTTTTTAAGCAAGAAAATTAGACGATCTGACTTATATATTGGATAAATACGATATCTACCATGAAGTCTTTTCAAAGAAGTCTATAAATTTGAAATTTCAGAAAATATCTATGGCAGAAAAGCATATTATAAAAATTTAACTAATGTAATAAATACACGAATGTCATTTGACCTATAGCTTTTAGTAGTATGCTAAAAAAGGCGGCATGAATGCATGGAAGTGTTTAGTAGTTTTCTTAAGTATTTCTCCCCCCCCCCCATAACTTAAATTTTGTTCTAAATGATAATTCAAAATGTTAATTCACTAATGTCTCAAAATTAAGTTTCGCGAACTTCATCGTATTCTGTAGTTATACACACTTAGATATGTTAGCTATTTAATAAGTATCCACACAACACTTGAAACTTTAAAACGCGAAATTTTATCACCAGTTCAAGTATTATAAAAACGCATTCTCAACAGTACATTTTTACAAGAAATTAACTTATGACTACAGAAAATTATACAGCGAATGAAAGCACAAAAATTACTTCTACATCGCAAAACGCAGTTTTAGACTTCTCAGATGCCCGAATGCTCAAGTAATTGTTATTTATTCAGTTTACCATGCAGTATAAGCTTGCATAAAACATTTTAAATTTATTATGATGAATTATTCGAAATGACCGAGAACAAGGAGATTAATTTCAGAGAAAATGAGATTGCGAGAAGGGAAATATTTGAATATCAGCATCTATTGCTACACTTTCACTTTGCAAAAAAATGGACCAAACATAACCTCTAAAACGCTGGAAAGCAATGTGGTCCCCCATCTGCCCTCAATACTGCTGATAGACATTTCAAATGGCTTTTAAAATATCCAAGATACAGATGCGCATGCATGCAAACACCATCCGTAATAACGCAATTGTATTAAGGCGAAAAGTTAAACAGAAAAATCAAAAGCCCCCACTTGCATTTTTCGAGGAAGGGGAGCAAATGTACATGAGGGTTATTTGCTCACAGAAGAGATGTCTTCGTGAAGGGTATTTTAAAGGAAACCATTTTGCAGTTGATTTACATTGGAGGCATCGCGAAACACTCATGTAAGCAAACCGTTCACAAGAGATTCGAACACGGATTAAACCACCTGTAATTCGGTACTCTTATCTACTTGTCTTTCTACAGGCGAATAAAAATATAAAAATGGGAACTCGAGTTCGACAAGACTCAGCAGTTGAAATCAAAGACTTTTTGCCAGATGAAGAGTGCAGAGAATAACTAACGCAGAGATGAATACTAGGAATTTTCTTTCAACAGTAAAGCATAAAAGTAATTCTTGCTGGTTAGGGTTTTACAAGTGCTTCCGGTATAGGAAACTTCCATGCAGACGTAAGATGCATGTTGAAATTTTAAGAATTTTCAAGGTAACCAAATTTTGTGGCACTCTTCGTGCATGGCAACGATCTAGGACACAAAGCGGAAGTTGTCCTCAGCTAGGTATACAGTGGTGGCCAAAATTGGACACTTTTGGAAATTTGTGTTTTTGAACTTTGTATGCTTAAAGAAAACGTTACGTTTCACAAAATGCAAACTTGTATATATCATTTTAAAGAGAATTTATTACTGAATTCAATACAAACACAAAATTCAATTATTTGCAATACAAAAATAGTTAAACGATAATAGTTATCGATATACATTAGATAGTGATGATTGCAGTGAGTTATCAGTACTTAGTAAGGTACCCTTTATTTTTGATTACAGCTTCACATCGACGTTTTATTGAGCTGACAAGAGTTTTAAGCTCTTCTTTCGTTATTACATGATGCCAGGAAACGATTATAGCCTCAATTAGTTCCCTTTTATTTGATGGGCACCTCATTCGAACAAGAGTTTTCAAACGCTGCCACAAATTTTCGACAGGATTGAGAACAGGACTTTTTCCTGGCCATGACAACAATTTAATGCTCTTTGTACGAAACCATTCTTTCGATATTTTGGCCGTGTGGCAAGGAGCAGAATCCTGCTGAAAAAATAAACGAAGCATTGTTGGGAAAGAGATCTCTGATGGAAAGTAGAAGTTTTGGTTCTAGAATAGTGTCAATGTATTTTCTGGCATTCAGTGTCCCATCGACGACATGAAGGCGACCAATACAATCTGCTGACATGCATGACCAAATCATAACACTAACTGGGTTCTTCACAGTTGCTTGAATGCAGTCAGGGTGTAGCTCTTCTCCTGTTCTACGTCTTGCATATTTTCGCCCATCACTACCGAATAACGATATCTTAATTTCCTCACTCCATATAACTTGTGACCATTGATCATCTGTCTAATTAATGTGTCCTTTGTCCACTGTAGTCTTTTTTTCGTTGCTGAAAATTAAGATAAGGCTTTTTTCGTGGAATTCTACCTCTCAGTCCAACATCTGTAAATCTTCTCCTGATTGTTCTTGAACTGACAGAAACACCAGCATCATTCAGATCACTTCTGATGGCCGCTGATGACATTTTTCTATCTTGGAGACAGTCTTTATTGTTCTGCCATCAATAGATGTGGTGCACCTTTTTCGGCCTTTTCCTTCTTTTATTTTTTGTTGAATTTGTCTCCTGATATCGTAAACAAAACTTTCGGACTCCAGATGTAGTCACTGAACCGCCCACCTGTCTTGCAATTTCAGCATAGGAAAGACCACTTTCTCGTAACAATAATATTACATCTCTTTCTAGGTGTCCAATCTACTCTTTTATTTGATGTCATTGCTTCTTGACTAAATATTAAAGATTTTTACAAAAATTCCTATGTGTAATTGCAGTGTATAAGAAACAGGTCCTCCTACAGAACAAAGCAAAATAATGAATTGTTTCAAGTGTAAACATGTCAGCTTCTACTGGCAGTTACTAACATTTGATTGGTTCTCAGAACAAGAACAGTGATTGGCCAGGAAAGCTAGACGTTACAAACCACTTCATAACTGTGTTTTTTATTTATATTAAAGGACATAACTTTTTCTGTATTGCAAATAATTCACTTTTGCGATTTGTATTGAAATGAGTAATACATTCTCTTTAAAATGATATATACAAGTTTGCATTTTGCGAAACTTAACATTTTCTATAAGCATACAAAGTTTAAAAACAAAAATTTCCAAAACTGTCCACAATTTTGGCCACCACTGTACAATGATTTCGAGATGCTTAGGACTGAAGAATACGACGCACTTGATAAATAAGGATTTGAGCAGCTTCATTTAATTAGCAGATTTCTGATCTATGAAATTATTGTTCAGATTGAAGTGTTCATATCCCAGCTATTTCTAACAAAGAGGACTAAATTCATAACTTGGATAAAAAACCAAAGTAATGTCCTCCAAAACAGTCTTAAAAATTGGCTTAAAAGTTTCGAGGGTACGATTCCAAGTAGTATGCGTTCCATGGTGTTTATTTCGCTTTTCCTACATTTCTTCAATCTCGAGTATGTGCGCTAGTTTCCGAATGTACGAAACTGAATCCACGATTGACCAAGTATTCAAACTCTGCTCTTTTCTAAAAATATGGATATATATTGAATCTTATGAGAGTTTTCAGTTACTTCAGTGATTGATATGCCTTAATACGAGTACGGATACATATGCCTAAATTTTCTATGGGACCATATATGCGCCAACTTCACCATTAAACAAATTCCTTTATAAAATCGCTCTTATTTTCAAAATGCATTTAAAAAATTAATGTTGCATTTTTTCCCTTTACTTAAATGAACGCATATTCAGACATTAGCCTACTCGAAATGAACAAATGACGTAAATATGTTACCTCGCTGGGAATATCATGTTTGCGCTTGTATCTTGCCGAGAAAATTGTTTGGTGCTTGTTGTCTTACACTTCCTTTACGAATACGGCAAGGCATGTAAGCGCTATCTGACTAGGAGGAGGGATGCCTTCGTAGAGACTTTTCTAATTGAAACCGGGTAGCATTCCCGTACTTGAGGAAAACCACAATGGCCAACCATACAGCCGTCTGGAATCGAACCCGGATCGAGCTCCCAGTATTCATTGGCCTTAACCCTTTGCGGCACCTAAAAATTTCCATCTGTACGCACAAAAAAATTGAATGAAAAAGGATTTATAAGTTACTAGAGGTTACTCTGAACCTTCTTTATTTATAGTAGATGGCAGCTCAACACAAACTAGACCATATATTTTAGCCATGTTTAGTTTTTTTAAGACCCTCATTTTTCAAAGAAATCTTCCAGATTTTTTTAGGGTATAAAAAGAATTGCTTGAAAAGAAATTTGTTATTTTTTGGCTGTAGGCTAATCTTGTTATATATTAGTTTTGAATTTTTACCTTGAAATCTTGCCTAAAATCAAATGGCGAAACCTAGGTGTGCCCAGACTGAGCTCACAGATAATCTAGGACAACCAAGATTCTGTATTCTTTGTTTCTCCGCATCTCATCGGTCAGTTCATTGACAATGCTCGTTTCAGCACTCTTTTCGAAGCTCTATTCAATCAGTGTGCCACTTTGGGCACACCCACTGAATTAAAACGATAAGTGCCATCTCCACAAAATTTTACTTGTGTACTCCTCTAGGCCTAATTATACTGCCTACCTTTTTTAAATCAAAACTCCGACTTTAAAAGGTAGCGTGCCGGAAAGGGTTAATCATATGACCACTAATGTAGCCTCTCCTATAACGGAAAGGATCATAATGAGGTATTTAGTTATATATAGATAACACAAATTTGGTTGACTGGTTAATTAATGAAAGCAAAGTTTTATTTGGTTCATTTTATTATGTCAAAGCACGCTAGGGCTTTCTGCCTGAAAGGAAGAATGCTTGGTGGAGGACTTTCCAAGAGAAACCGACTCTGATCCAAATTACCCATTAGGAAAGCCACGAAAACACCGTTGCAGTCAGCCCGTTCGCCTGGAATCAAACCCAGGTCAACTATCAGTGATCAGAGACTTCTCCGCTCTGCCACTGGTAAGCTTTTCTCAGTCGAGGTAATTATGCCTTAGTAGAGGACATTCCAAGGCAAATAAGACTTATTTACATCTCAAGTTGAGAAAAGCTTGAAACTTGCATGAAGCTGTTTCATTCGGCCGCCGAAAATCAAATTCACTAAACTGTCAAGGTTTTAACCAGCTGTGGTTAGTACAATATATAGTTCTATTTTAGAATTTTGTAGATACTAGAGTTTCAAATTGGAAAAACAACAAAGTTTGTTATTTCAAAGCAATAACTTTAATAAAAATAAATTAAGTGAATTTTGAAAGGTTTAATGCAATTTAACTTTAATGTAGTGCAATTTTTAACAGACATGTAAAGGCAGGTATTTTAAGAAAAAAAAGGGTCATGCAGTTGATACAAAATTGGAGATTTTTAATGAAAACTGCTCGAATTACCTGTTTTTTAACAGCTGGCGCTATATTCAGTTTCCTGTCTTTAAGTGTCAAGCAGTCAACCTGGAAAAAATTGACCGTTTATTACGAATGTAGTCAGAAAGATAAGCTTCTAAACGTAGTGTTTTCAGGAAAATTAATGCAACAGGAAATGTGTACACACACATTTTGTAAATTCTACGATAGAAGAATTAACACTGAATAAATTCTTTAAACAGACTACTCATATTGCAGAAAAATTAATTATATTTATAATACAATTCTGGCTTTATTCAAATTTCCACGATCCGTTATGATCTGAAAGTTTTAGATTAACTAAAATGAATACTCCCAGATTACGATTTATGGGACTATCTCGAAAGATCAAACTCTGCCTTTTCTGTATTAGAACTATTATTGGTGTAACCAAGAAATGTTGAATTTAGATCGATACTGTTAAGCTGAACACTACGTTAAGCTATGTGTTATTCGAAGAATAAACAGAGCCCAGAACAAAACACGATCGAAGACAACATAAATCATGAAACAAGTCTCAAAGAGTTCCTTTATAAATATTTACTTCCTACGAAGCGATATTACAAGTAAGATTTTTAATTCAAATGGGAAAAGCTTAAATATCCTCCCTATGCGGGAAATTGAGCAAAGAACGAGTTTATTTAAAAGTCACCTTATACCGGCCAAAATATTCGTATGAAACCAATTACGACCTCAAAGTTTTTATATCGGACGTGTGCATTGGAGAGCAATTCATATATGATGGACACCACATTCCTTTTACGTACATGCTTGAAACGCAAGAGTATACACGAAAAGGACTAGAAATAGCTCAGAAGAATGCTTTACTCGGAGGCTGGTTTCTATTGAAGTGCTGAAATCTCAGAATGCCCAGAATTCAAGTCCGAATGAATTCTACTCTTTTTAGCATGAATCACAAAAACAGCAATATAACAAAATATCACAAGACTGGAATTACTGCACAATATGAAGAGTTACTTCATAATATTTCGATTTTAAAGATATGCTCAGTACATTAAGTTTGCAATGGATTCAGAAATGAAGAATTAATAATTTAAAGTGAGGTAGGTCCCACCGAAAATGAGGGTTATTGAAAACGCTGCTTGTAACTGAAGCAAAATAAAGCAGCAACATTTTGCTTACCTCAGGTCGTTATACTAAAGGAATAAGGTCTGCATCTCTTTAAAGTACTAGCAAAGAGTTAATGTCTTATAACTTAAACACTATGCAAGACTATGGAATATATAGTAAAGAGATACCAAACCATGTCGCACGAGCAGGGCACTAGGACTTACATCCTTATGAACACTGGGCAGTCCTATATATTACTGTATCAGAAACTATTTTTAGACATAAAAGTTAGATTTTTGCTTAACATTACACAAATGTTTGCATTTACTTAATGTAAAACTTAGCATATTACTACATACTTTTAGCAACCAATAGTTACTGAAGATTTCTTTATTCTCTTTTTCGAGCATAGAATCCCTGTTCTTTGGGGCGGAATTTTAATACTCGTAAAGAAAATAATTCTTTCGGTGCATGTGAAACCACACTGGCAGGTTGCGCTATATACGCCTGAGAATTAAAATCAGGAGATACCTTTTTTTTCTTAAGATCTGAATAACGAATTTTAATTCTGGAAAGTAAAAGAACCGAAGTTGAACTTTGAAAATCCGAGCAGTTAGGAAAACAATAGAATGTTTAGCTACCCAATGCGATGAAGTACATGCCACGACAGAGCCTTCAGAAGTGTTTTATATTGATCCCTTGCCAAGTTTTTAGCAACTTCATGTTATACAATTCGATTGTTGGTCGCTACTGTACGTTACATCCAACTGAAAGCTCTTTATGGCATACTGTTGGACTATCCACCAGTTACAAGAAGAAATTCCATCATTATATCGCTAAAATAAACTTGAGATTATGACTAGGTAAAAACAAATCCTGCAAGACCTTTTGATACCGCATGACCCCGTCTTCTTGCACGAGTCATGTGCAACCATATCGATGGAACAACCTTTTTAAATGAATTTTAGAGTTTAAAGGTTACAGGATAATCATGCTGTGATCTACATGAAAAGCATTGTTTACACGTAGGGTGCGTTATTCTGCTTTAACTGCTTTTGCTATTTAAAATTGACGGCTCCAATAGCAGTACCAAGAACATAATTACCAAATTCTTTATAGAATTTAGGTGGACTACATGACAATGCTTATAAGTAAAATGAAACCTTGCATATTACTGAAGTATAACTTATTTTCAACCATGATTTACAGTATTTAATACTTTTAATTTCTAGTCTTGCAGGTATATTAAACGAGAATTATTGCCAAACATTTGGCCTCTCATAGCTCTAGTATTTCTACTTTATACACAAAAGCTCAGGTGAATAAATGATTGTACTCTTTCTTTCAATACTTGGCTCCAAATCAACCTTTTTTTTTTCAATTAAAGCAGTGTTCATTACTTCCTGAAGATAGTAGGCACTGACATTAACTTCCAGCCGCTTAATGTAATTTCTACAAAGCTATGATTTACTTTCGAAGATATTGAAGTTACTTCAGAGTTAAAATTTATTACAGAAAGTTATAAATACCAGTGATCTTTTAGCAAAATTAATATTTAAAACATTTACCTCAATAAGGACCTTTTGGGCTTCCTCTTCAGTTTCAAAAGTTACGAAGCCATACCTAAATTTCAAAGAAAATAATTAACGATGGCAAAACTTTGGAAATAGTTACGATATTAAATTCAAGAAACCATTTATTTAACACACCATGACAGTTTGCAGAGATTTTAATTAATGCATTGTAGATTTAGTTTCCCAATGCTTTGCAGCTAAATGTTGCGTATGCTTTATATGTTGAAGCAATCTCTGTGCATACTTATCCAGAAATTTCAGAATAGGCGTAACGCTTACATATTCTCATCAATGAATATTCTCTTCACTTCCTGTAGGCAGCGGTATTTCTTTTAGCTAGTTATGCGTCGTTAAAGAAGTACCAGCTTATGATGTAGTGGTAGAAAACCATAAAATACATGCTTAGATTAATTATAGTAAAGTAACTAGAGCTATATCATTAGGAACGGATATTTTCGTGGAGAAGTTTAAAAAATGGCTCGTATTCATCTTGTATACGATTAAATAAAGGAATTCTAGGTTGGACATTCTTAGATATTTCTCGAGATTATAAGCGACACCAGAGAGATAAATACAAAAGTGCACCAATAATATTTTGGATCAGTGAATTTATTTTGAATCGATTTCAGTGAAAGTAAACATTCTCAGTATTTTTCCTTAAATTACACATGCTATAAATGTTTAGATGTTAGAATTTTAGCAGCATAAGAGTTTGTCAACATATTCAAGCAAGAAATTGACTACCATCATATATCGATATTTCATAAAAATCAGTACCCGAATATTCGCATAAATGGTAATATTCAGATGGCAAGTGTTCTCATTTTTTCGCACATCGAAGGTAAAATTAAGTTATTGGAACACTGTAAAGAACATAAATGTTATCAGCCCGAGGGAAGGCATGCATTCGTGGTAGCTTGTTTAAGGAGAACACTCCTATTCACGTTACACATGGGAAAATCCACGAAAACCAACCACGCAGGCAGCCCGTTTGTCTGGGATAGAACTTCCAGTATTCAGCAATCGATCGATGATAAGAAACTTATCACATGCAGTCTACATTTTAGTTCATTTGTTCTTTGAATTTTATATCAAGATTCTTTTAATGATTTTAAGCTGTACGGGTAATAAAATTAGAATTTCAAATTCCAATAAACAGTTTAAAAAATTAGTTAAGAGACAATTTTGTTCGGCGCTTACATATTATCGCAACCACTCGTGCGGAAGTCGGCAAATAATCAGAACTTATCAAATTCTGGCAACCATGCGCATAAACATTAAGGCAGCCCCGCTCAAAGTAATCGTTCAGTCAAGCTACATCTCCATTTTCGTATGCGTTCTTTCTGGTTATATTCTTAAATCGAACGACTTTTATAGAAACATTGTGACATTTTTTGCCTTTTAACTGAATTTAAAAGTTTTTTTTTGCTTGTAGAATTTGTCAACAATGGAAGAATAACACTAAAATTTCTGCAAGAATATGGTATTTTGCCGCAAAGAACAGTGATGAGATACTTTTGACAGATGGCCTGTCAGCAATGCCGAAGTTGGGTGCGACGCCGGGTTTGCGAAGTTTTTCCGATTTTTAAGCGAAAACGGATCCCTGTGTACACGGTTAGAAGAACAGACCAAACAACTGCAGAACGATTTCGAGAAAATACAAGCATTTCGTTTTTAAAATTTTTTAATGTATCGTAATTCATACTTAAAGTTTGTGTTTTAAAATATTAAATTATGTTTTAGTTTGATATGTTGATAATGTTTGCCGACTTAAGATAACCATCAGTAGTTTAGCGACCTTAAAAATTTCCTCTTTATTGTTTATGCATGCTCCGATAAATATTTGGAAATTTAAAATTCCGTTAAAATAAGTTTTTATTGATGATAAAAATTTCATTTTGTAATAAAAGCTCTGGCTTGGGGACTGTTTACAGTTAGTGCATTTGGCTCCTATGCTAATTGAGTTTGAAACCACAGGTTTACATAACAATTTTAATACTGCGGATATGAAACAATGCCAAAATGTTTCATTTTCCTCATTCCCTGAATAAGAGACCATTTCCCTCAAAATTTCTTTCACGAGACCAATCCTCTCTCGCAGATAGCTCTTGTGTGCTTTACTATATAATCCACTTAACTTAAAACAGAAAATTTAGCAAGTAGAAATTTTAGGAAATCCAGAAAGGAAGTATCGTGAATATTTAACTTGTTTAATTCTCTCCGAACTAAACTTCCATTGTGTTCAAATTATTAATTCGATTGCAAATGAAGCTTTACAGACTTAACCTATTGTATTCCACTGGCGCTACTATTGAGCAATTCAAAAGGGGACACAGATCCCCAAATGCTAAAATTAACTTTGAATGCACACAAGTCTAGAAATCTTTTGAAATTTATATAGGAATTGAAAGCGAGAATTCAAACCAATTTCACTAGTCACTGCTGTTTCACGCTCATTCGATACGTGAATTTGATTTTCCATATTTAGTTATTTTACTGTAAATACATATTATACACATTAAAAAATTACCAGTAAATGTTTCATTTATAGTCTTAATTTTACTCACCAAGACTGATTAAGACCGCTGAACACCGGTAGCTCGACAAGAGTTCGAACTTAGCTGGAACGGTAAGGCTGCATGGGTGTGTTTCATGGTTTTACCATGTGTAGCGAATACGAGCCAGTTTCACTTTAAAAGTCATTTACTAAGGAATCCATCGCCTTGGTGTGCCTTATGTTCAAAAAATCTAACCTTAGTTTTGCTGAAACTTACAGAATGTTTTCGCAGTAGATTACTGTTAAGTATGCTAATATTTGTCTCATCACTTTTTCATATACTATCTAACATTAAGCTAGAAAATTGTTCAAACTGTCGAAATACAAAAGTCCTATTAAGTGGCAAGTGTCAACCACCTTAGCAACGAAACTTTCACCTTTCTTTTATATATAACGTTTTGTATTCTACAACTCTTAAATAAATAATTCAAAAACACAGCAGTGTGGTTATTTCACTTCCCTTCTTGTCCTTTAGATTGTAGAAATAGGAAATGAAACAGTACACACAAGTGTAAGCATTCTGTCCATATGTACCTGCTTTCTATTGGATCAGCGGGCTGGCTGCATGGGCGTTTTCGTGGTTTTCCCCATGTGTAACGTGTATACGAGCCAGTTTCCCTTAGAAAGTCCTCCACGAAAGGCATCCCTCCCTTTAGGCAGATAGCCCTCGTGTGCTTTGCCATAATTAAATACACCAACACCATCTATTGGATCAGATTTATTTCACAAGTGATGAATAATCATTTTTCTGAAATGACTATTCTTTAATAATTCGTGCAATTTAAATTATCTCCGAATTCGCTACCTTTCTCAAACAATGAAACTTCATTTTAATTTTTGCTAATCTCTGCACTTTCTCGTAATGCAAGTTATTTTTAACACAAATGACAATAAATAATAACGATTTATTGAATTATCCAAAAACATAAATCTACTTTGACAGAGAACAAAACAGCGATCTGGACAATGCTAAACATCTATATCCCGAATATTTTCATAAGATGAGGATGCGCTCGGGGTCCATGTTGATCCCCAAATACTAAATTTTTTGGAAAAAATGTAGATTTGAGAAAAAGAATAGACATGACCTGAGTTACTCAAATTTAAGGTCGAACTACTGGAATGTGTTCCCTAGATACCTCGACCTTGCTCGTTAATATAGATCACCAATTTCAGTGTTGCCGCCGCAGTGTTGAATAATTTTACTCCATAACTCAAACACCACTACATATAGTGGCGTGCCATCAATGCACTGGAGGAACTAGTCTAGTCCCCAAGCATTTTATGCATTAGCTATTTTTTTCATTGGCGGGCACTTAACCGACTTAGACGACCACTACTAAAGAAGAAAGTAATGGCCACTTTATTATAAAAGCACCTAATAAACAAGCCACCGTTACCTCCTATGAAGGGATCAAGTAACTAGATATATACGCGCCTCGTCAACTAAATGACACTACGCGGACTAAACCCATCTGAACCCCCCGACATTAGGCACGGGACGGGCATACCAGCCAAAACGCCACCTTGGAGATGGTCTAACACTCCAACTGAATCCCGGTGCCCACATCGTCCAGAATAACAGCTTCCAAAAAAATCTCCACCTGTAAAACAGGCCCACCGCTGAACGGGTCAGCCAAGACAAGCGATCAGAGACCACGATGGGATGGGCTGAATACCTGGAGCTTTGACTGGTCCCTAAACGTGCTACCCACCAGTACTACGCGGGCAGCCCACCCTCCCGGCTTTACACAGAATACGGGGACTGGACGCTCAATGTCCCAAGCGCTAATACTATACTTTGGCTACTGATACCCTAGTTATGGGGACTTATGCCTCCAGACCAGTGAAAGGTCGGGATAAACCCTTCCCCACAGGTCCTCGTAGTCAAATTTTATAGCCCCGTGGCCGAGACTGCCTAAGCCAGTATCTGAAGAGAGTACACTGCGTCGACCCTGAGGAGAGTCTATGAAGGGAGTGACAATTACAGCCATATCTTTTCCGGGATTCGAACCCGGGCCCTTCGGTATCGCAGTAGGCTCCCTTAATAACTATACAGTCTGCACGGCACGCGTTAACACTTAAGTACACTTTACGTAACGTTCAAAAGCATCAAAAGAACATATTACCTCCTCTGGAACCACATGTCATTAGTGTTGTTGGGTTTCCGCGGGAATGGGAAGGCTTTGGGTCTAGCCGGTTCTATGCGAGGAACAACTAGCTGGTTTTCACATCTTCCTTCAACAGCTTTACGTATGCTATTTTCTACTGGCCGCAGGTTGTTTGAAATTTTAATTTCCCAGCGATTCTTATAAGCGAACTAAGTTATATTTTAATTAGTCTTCCTAAAACTATCATGGTATGCGAAATATTACGAAGTTAAATACTATATCCATGCAGTAATTCCATGTTTGGAAAGTTTTACGACAAGCTAGTCCTCACACAAGAAAACATTACCGAGCACGTGCAAGCAGTTTATCATGTTCTTCGGG